ACAATTGACACCCATACAATGGCGCATAAATTTTTGTAACTGCAATACGCAAACCTGCATATTTTTTGCAAACCCGCACATTTTTCGTTCGTACGGCGATAAATGAATTGTCGCAATTATTCACGATTAAAATAGAACGCTCGATACTCGTGTCGGCAATAAAAAGCGACAAGCGTTTTATTATAGTGGCGATATTGAATTATCCGTTTCACCTGAAAGAAGGGATCTTAATAGTGACAGTGCCGACACTTTCTAAGAAAGTCACCCGAAACTTTCATCCTTAATACCGTAATTACTTCAAAAATTAATTAACGCTGCAAAAGTCCGATACCTTAACGCGAAATTTGCTCGCATCGAAACGCACGATGTTTTTAATCGATTCACAACTACGTGTCAATTAATATCAAATTTAAAATTTATCAACTTTTTCTTGTCGATTTGTCTACTAGCGTCATTAAGCATGTATTTCTTTTTTTTAGGCCAAACTAAAGAAAAAATCGAATATATGACATACTTAAAGACAATTTTAATACAAAAAAGAAATGAAGTACGCTACTAACCGAAACTAATACATTTAAAAAATAAACAATATAATAATAGGCCAGATTGAAGTAGGTAATTTTTCTCTATTGAAAATAATTCCAAACGTGCGTGCGTTTTAAATAATGTGTTGTTGTATGTGTGAGAGAGAGGCATTAACAACTATTATTTGTCTCAGGCGGTAATCAAGATGTGCTCTCTATGAAGAGCGACAGAATTGATGCTACCTTATGCTTTCATAGAGAACGAGGATCCATCCAAGGGGCGACTCGTTTTGTACGGGAAAAGTTATACTTCTGTCTCAAGGTCCACTCTGATAAGCGAATAACAGACGCAGATATCTGTGTTTCTGGGATCTACCCCAAAGTATTCCAAGTAGACATTTATGTAATACTGTTGTTTGCTGGCAAAAACCTCAAGGAAGGGTGCTCGTCCGAGTATATTTGTAGCAATAGTTGAGCGGCTGTCCAGGGTTGCTACTTGAGCGCCGAGAAACATTGACACAACTGGCAGAACGTAATTCTGTGAATCTCTCCTACGACCCGCTATATGAGGTATTGAGGGCAACGAGATAGACAAATTAGCTTGGAATGCAGGGGTAACTAGCACTAGGATAGTTTACCAGGACTGAGTCAGTCGAGAAGGTTGTCGGGACCTTCTAAGCCTCATGCAGGATCAAAAATGGTCCCTCAGTTTCAGTCGAGCTTCATAACCAACTGCCCACAACTAGAGGGTAACACTAGCAGCTCAATTCATTGAGCCCCAGGAACTATTCAAACTCCCCATGATTTAGATACTGTACTCTCTCGAGAGAAAAGGAGTCTTCTAGGGAAGGGAGTGAAGATGTGCTGGCATAATGGACCGGAAGGTCCTAGCTGAGAGTGACGTATTGCAGATACATTAGGAATAATGCTCCATTAAAAGCAAAGTCAATTCATACTAAAAAATAACAAATAACAAATTCCTACAACCGTAGATTATTGGAATTTTTGTGTGTAAGCACTGGCGTCTCTGTTAAGATCCTAGTTGTTTTCCCTGTACGTTTTTCGATAGCTTTAATCTAAAGTTTAAACAAAATCTTCTCAAAGCATTTTGAAAAAGAAGCTTAGTCATTAATTTTTATCGTTTACTTTTTGTTTTCCGCCTATTTAATCCATTCTATTGTTGTGTTTTCTGATTTTTTTTCTCTTTAATATTTCATGAAATTACCAGTAACATTGCTCAAAGGAAATCACAAGTAGGGCTTTCAAAATTGAGTAGGTAATAAACCAAATTTATGTTTTTGAATAATTTTTCAGTAATTGTCACATATTGGAATTTTTTCATTTATTTTGGTTTGTATCACAGCCGCTGCGCAGTGCCGCACGTGTGAATCGGCCTTAATCAGATTCGTCCGCGTCGCCATAAGAAGACGATCGGATCGCACAATAAATTCGCAACCGGCTTATTACAAAAAGCTATCGGCGGCCATGTCGCTTGTAAATTAGAATTTTGATGATAATTTGCGACAGATCAATTGCAATTCGCTCAAGGCGTGGGCATTAAACCGTATGAAAAAGTCTTATGGTAATGCCGGAGTCCCATACAATATTAAAAATAATCGCCGATACTTATGTGATGCGTTCGAGAATGTTAATTTTTTCATCGTCGATAATGACGGACCGGACGCATCAAGCGTTCCGAACCATGAACGGTTTGATTAGATTTGGCTAGGATATTATTTCTCGTGATTTAGATGACAAATTAGGAGATTTTTTAATTTAAATTTGACATCTCACTTTTTACAGAAACAAATTTGATCGAAAACAAAAAAGAAAAGGAAAACAATAGAACAAAAAATACTCGTAGTAGTAGTAATATAGCTACTACATTATATAACGCTCCTGCCTATACCGATGGTTCAGCAACCAACAGGCAGTTGTCAGTTCGTCAATTTGACAGGTTTCAGTATGCTGTGCCTAATTTCACCATTATCACTCTTCTCTTTATAAAAACCATCTTCTCAAAATTTGAACAATTAAGAGATAAGTTATATGAGACTATGGAAGCATATTCGTCACTTTACCACGTCAGTTTCGTTTCCCATTCGTGTTGTTTTGCGAAAATGTATCCAAAAACTAACGGTCGTAGAAAAAGTACGGCAAACTTTTTAAGTCACTCGTTTATTAAACACTCGTTCCGCTGCGCTCCGCTCGTGTCAAATAAACTCGTATGAGAGCAATCAGATGTTTTCAGAGATTTTACCGCACGGCTTGAATTTTGATGCTTGTCAATTTTAACGGTCATGTCGTTTTGTTTTGCAAAAATGTACCCAATACCTAACGGCGGTAAACGGCGTTTGAGTCACGAGTTCATTTGGCACGAGCGGAGCGAGTGTTAATAAATGAGTGCACTTGTTGCATAATATACTATTACAGTTACTGGGTGTTGCAGTTTATATGTCACAAAGTATATTTACTTAACTTTCGGCATAATTAGAGCCTTAAAAGCATAATGTCCCCCCTTCTTCCCGGGCCGACCCTCATCCACTAGACCCAACGCCGAGATTTCTCGCCCGGGCATCAAAAGAGCAAAAGTATATGTATAGTAAAGAGGTGACGTGAATGTAGATCGGCAACCCCAAAACCCCCGATGTAAAATATGCAGCGCACGGTGCCCCGGTTGTTGCTTTGTCGTCTTTTGTATGTGTATGTGTGTGTGCGCGCTTACGTTTGTTCTTTCTTGTCCGTCGCTCTCCGTTCCCCCACCCGCGCGCGCAGGGTAGTTGCGATTCCGTCGAAATTAAATTTGCATATGTCCCTTTTGTGTTCCTTTTCTCGTTCGCGGTCTTTGAATAAACACACCGACGTATATACTTACTGATTAATTGAATCGATATAGACGTCGGTTTTGTAAAAAGGAATATTTGAGTAGGTACGCAGACGTTCTGCTGATGTCTTTTTACGTCGAAGTTTACCAGCGCATTGCGCTATGCCGACGATGTGAAAGGACAACACAATTGATATTTATAGAGGATTTTTAAGTATGTTTGTTGTTTGTTAAAATTGTCAAAAGACTGAAGTTAAAACTTTTTTATTTAACGCTATTAAATTATATAACACCTTTCTTGATAAATTCGAGGTTTCAACAAATTCAAAAACAAATTGAAAACTCTTTAATTAAGATTCGACAATAATAAGTTTTATATTCAAATGTTTATACCTAGTGGGATAATAATAGTATATTATGCAACAAGTGCGTTAAACGGAATTTGAGTCAAGAGTTTATTTGACACGATATATATATATATATATATATATATATATATATATATATATATATATATATATATATATATATATATATATATATTCTTAAAATTGTGCTGCAAATTTTTGAAATTCCTCTGTAACACTCTTATAATGTAAACAATACTTCTTCTAGCCCCGAAAAAGAAAGATCATACACGAAAAGGTTTCCCTTGTGTTGATACATTCAGTAATACATATTAGAAAATAAGCGTTTTGTGTAAAATGTGTTGGCCAACTAAGAATAACCCTTTGTGGGAAATTTGCTCGTCACGACGTATAGTTTCGGAAAAAAATAAAATTGATTTTGCTGAATTTTTAATATTCATTCCAAAAAGACAACTTTGCCACGAATGTTGTAAGGTGATCGCGCGAAGTGGAAGCTTTTAATGGCGTACCTACTGCTTTACAGCTAGTTCTGCGGTAAAGATTTTGAAGAAAATTATACCGGGTGTTCAAAAAGTATGGAAACGGTGGAATATCTCGAGGATTACACAAGTAGTCAATCAATAGAAAATGCTTTTAAATAATGAATGGAAGGATTGCTTATTAATACCAAACATGACCCCCAACCAAACCCACTGGTGGAGCGGCGTCAGGTTTTGTACGAAGTTTTATTCTGTGCAACGTTTACTTTTTGGGTACGTATGACGTGACCATCAGAACTATCGTCAAAAAGTACCTTCAATGTACTGAAAACATTTGGTCCCTTATAACCCCTTTTAAAGTGACAGTTTTCAGCACGCCTGGTTACTGCGTGATTTTAGAGTAAGGATTAAAAAAAAATATGTTAAAAAGAAAGTATCATAACACTAGAGTGAGAATCATAATATTCATAATAATCATAGTATTTCTCGGTAAATAGGATACGTCTTTTCTGAGATTACAACGCCATCTACCGAGAATCCAAAAGAAAAACAATCATCCAGATTTAAGCTGTCCAACCAGTGGGTTGGGGTGTTATTAAACAGTTTTTTATTCAATTTCGTCAATTTTTCATCAGTACGTTTGTTGTCTGTTGAATTTACTTTAAAAGCACTACCATGACTAGTCAAAGTTGCATTTTAGACCTTTATCGGTTGGCCATAGATAAAATCTTTTAAGTGTTCCGACTTGTTTCGAAAAAAGGCACAAACAGTCTTAGTGAGTAATAGAAATAAATTGTGCACTAACCTTGTTCGCTTCCTGTTGTTGCTGCTGCGTCAGCAGCTGTTCCCTGACCATCTGAAGTTGAAAAATCAACTCCGACAACTTTCTGTCCTTCTCCATTATGGTGTCGCCGGACAAAGCGTGTTGAATTGCCGTCGCTGGCTCGACGTCGCTGCAAAAGAAACAAACATCGTTATCTGCAAAAAGTGTGTTTTCGTCGTGAACACGCGGGGATAAACAAAAACGTGAACGTTTCCGGAACAGAATGACATCAAAAAGAATAAATAAGTTCGCTACCGCAGAGTAAAGAACAAAACCAGATATGTGTTCGCAAAAAACCGTATTGTTTCAAGGAGATTTTTCGAGGAGATAGGAATGCAAACACATGTAAGGGAATCTCTTTAATCTTCTTTGTTTTTTTTGCGTAGCACACGTAGACCGGTTACGGTGAAAGATACAGTATACAATATCCTTTAGATCTGAATAAGCGCCCTATATATACCAATGTACAAAATTCAATATCACATTCCTTGATATGCTTTGGCAAGTGGAGAGACGATAAGGATTCAATTTTTGCAAAATTAGATTTAACATTTCAACACCGCAGGTGGTCTTTCTGATTAGTTTTTGTGATTTTCATGATCAACAAATAACCCTTAATATGTTTTGAATGATGCTTATCAAGAATATGGGCAGAACCTTAAGTTTTTCACAAATGTCAGCACAGTTCAGTCAAGCATATAAAAGAACAGACCGCCCTCGTAAGTTAGATACCTACGAAGTATTCTTACTATTAACAGTCTGTTCATGAAATGAAAATATAAGCCAAAAAAGAGCAAAAAATCACACAAAATAGTCGGGTCCATCTGATCTTATAGTTTTTTGAAAAGGAGCTCCAACAAATTACCCGTCGGATTCTATACTTTTTTTGTTCTTGCTGACTGTGTGTTCGTAGAACGTAGCCTTGACCGACTTGCAATGTTTCTCCGAATTTTTGGAAAAAGTAGTACGGAAAGTGAGGTCACATTCTAAGAAGCAATAACCAATAAGGAAAATGAATAGCGGGCAATCCGGAAAATCAGAGATCAGATTAATGGAACCCTATTTGGGTACTGCCGTGTTATTCGTAACGTTGATGCCTTTTTGTAAATTTTAAATAGTGCTAGCAATAAAAATTCATGGAAACGTTTTAAACTTAAATCGTCTCTGTGTCATATGGAGTCTCTTTTAAAAATTCCTTTATATATGCTCTCCGCCTCTACGTATAAAATTTCATAAATTTAAATTTGCCGCGATTATAAAAACCGTGATTGCGCGCGTACCCATACTATTAAGACGTTGCATATAAGATTTCCAATATATCGTTAGATAAAAGACTGAATTATGTATCTCGTGTAGTATGCAGAATGCAATTTTATGTTCCCGAAGAAGATTGAAGTAATTATAATAAAATGAGGAAATCTGAATATATATGCGGCATAGATATTGGATATTAAACGGAATATATTGGTAAGCGAACTTGTCAATTTGCTTGGCTGACGATATAAAGAAGCAGAAAATGCAATATTATGTATATGTGTACATAACTTTTTTTTGTACCGTATTTTGTACAGGTATTATATATAATTTTGAGAAAAATGCCTTTTTTTATACTAGTTTTGGGGTTGTTTCTACTACGCACTTTTTAGTGTTTTGTTCTCATTGTTTGAAAAAATGTTCTATTTTATCTTTAAACTATAGATCTCACAATGTTTGTAATATTCAAATATTTTTAGTTAGTTTCATAATACTTTTTTTATTATTTTTTTAAAGGAAGAGAAATATACATTCGACGACTATTTTTTTTTTCTGACTTAAGGCCGTAATTCTTTTTATAATACTTTTTACATGAAAATGTGTTTTACAAAATAGCATATAAACTTAAATCCACCGTAATTTTAGTTTCAAGATCTTCTGCGACGCCTACCATCCATACGTTAAAACGCTTTTCATTTCAGCGGTTTCCACAGTTGCTTTAATACCACAAAATACAGGTTTTGATCTTATAATGTTGTATTGTTTATTAAGAAATAGAAAGACGATGCCCGTAGGTTTAATGAATTGGTTACAAATGATACATTGAGCACTTATCGTCGAAATGAATGAATGGCGAAACAAACAATGTCGCGGCCATAAAAATAAGACGAAAAAAATGTTATGTCATTTATCTGCATGTGTGTGTAACCGTCCTTTTAATATGGTCGGTCAAGGCAACCAGACGGGGAGTTTGAGTATGGCACAACCATTATTTTACCGCTGCGATTTTTGTTTCACGCGCAAAGCGAAATTAATGTTATTTTTTTCTAATTATTAAAAACGAAAATTATATATAAGTATTCAAATTGAAAATCCAATTAGTGGCGCCGAACCGATCGATTAAAAACTAATAACGTTAATAAATCCAATTATCGGAAACAGTCGACGATAAGAAGCAACGGGAATAACGATTCCCAATTTAATTTTTACGTATATTAATTATACAGTTAAAGCCCGACGTTCTAATTTGTTTTAATTAAGGCTCTTCTATATTAAATTTTAAACGGTGTAGGATCTTCGATTGGGTTTTTAACGCTGCTTTCACTGACACTAGCACAACCCTGATAGAGTAGATACGATAGGACTCAAAAGGTTAAGGCTCAAGAAGCCGAGGACGCAGACAGTACATCGTTTGCAAAATAATGGAAAAAATATCCAAAAAGAATTTAAAATTTATTCTTCTAAATATAAAACTACGGAACTTACGATTTGTAGACTATAATGGAAGTAGATAGGTTCAGATCAGAAAACGGGACGATTAAGGTCGATTAGTTGGATATGGCGTATATAGCACGAAACACAGAAAGATTACCACCACACAGATCTCATATTTACAAACCTTTGAGGTACTAAGGGTTGCCAATAATTAGTACTAATTTGCTTTATGTAGCGTTAATTTGGAGCACTATCTCGTTAAAAGTACATAACGTATTTTATTTATAAAAAAACGATTCAGTTTTTGAAGTATTAACGCCCCTGGGTTGCGTCCGGGTATACTGACATTGCTAGCAATACAACAAAGCAGAAACCTATTTACGATGAAGTGACTCTAATATAAAAATTTACTGACATCTTTAAATCATTTTTTGGGATTGTCTTTATTATTATTACATTAAATTTTCGTAGATTGCGACTAAATGAACCCTGTGAAGCAGCGTGATCTGAGATTGTTGTGCTGGAAACTTAATCCGTAATCTACTTACGAGTTATGGGTCGAGTTCGGGGTCGACGAAGGCGTCGGCCGACGCTCCTCCTTGATCGAACTGTTGTTAATTTTCGACGTCAACCGTTTGAGGACGTCGTCCATCGACCGTTTCAGCGGATGCAAGGAACTGTTATTGTTAAGCAAACTACTATTGTTATTGTTGTAATGAAAACTAGTCTTAACGTCCGAACCGGGCGAACTACACTCGGACGAGTTCCGTCGCCTATCCGTCTGTTCTGCGTGGAGCGATAGCGTCGAGATGCTCGACGCCATCGGCGAACAGTTCGGATCGGAGCCGCACATCCTCGCCGTTTTGCTCGGTGGAGTGTGTTCTTCTTCGAGAGCGTCGTCGATTTCGCTACCGCAGGCGCTCGGGGACGACGGTTCCGATAATTTGTAAAACGCGGACGAACTGTTTACCATATTGTTCGCCTCTTCCTCGCAGATATCGCTTAGATTGTTGCTACTCGTTTCGTCTAGGTCGGTCAGACCTCCGCCGTCGCTGCCGCTACCCCCGATGTTCGACTGATAGACGGGGGTGTCGCTCGCGTTGCCTTCGTGCAGTTTCGTCGGTGGAGACTTCCGCTTCGAAGACATATTTCTGGAAAAGATCAAAAATTGGCACTTTAAATGAGATAAAATCCCTCATACATATGTGTTCGAGCATGTAAAAAAAAGCTCGAAATTTCACGTCAGTATTTTAGTCCCTTATTATATGCCTTAGTTATAAACTGGCATCCATAGCTTGCGTGATTTTAGAGATTTAGCGTGTCTTGAAGCTAGTTGACTTGATGAGGACTTGTTATGTAGAAGATATCACGAATAACGACATCGCATATAACGACATGTTGGGTATAACGACGAAAATTGACAGCCCCATTTAAACTCCATCTAAATTTTAACAAGTATACCGGGTGACACAAGAAATTGGGAACACGCAATAAATTTTAAACGGCTTGAGATAGCGATTTGAAATTTTGAAGGGTTAATGTGGGCTGAATGTCCAATATTTTGACAATATGTAGTCACTTCCGGTTTGAGTGGAAATGACAAATAATAATAAAATAAAAACAAAGTATTACTTAGGAGGCTTTGCCTCTATTCATTATTAATTGATTAATCGATTAATTGGTAAGATTAAAAATGCGGAGGAAATTCTCGACAAGCTTATGCAGAAGATAGAAAAATCGGATTAGTATTTAAAGAAAAATAAAATTTAAGGGAGAGTTTCTTCTGAGATTCAACGATTATAATTTTTTGTTAAGAGTGTTTTATTCTGGTAAAAAGTTTATATGCTTTTGGAATACGGGCTACAGTTAAAAACTAACGTAAGTATTGTATATATACGTACGTACGTTTTTATAAAAATGTATTTACTTTTATTGTTTTTTCATTGCTGTGAATATTGTGAAAAAAGTGGACATTCAGCCTAAAATTTCAAATCGCTGTCTCAAGCCGTTGAAAAATTATATACTTTCTTATATTATACACTTTCTTGTGTCACCCGGTATATTTTTTATTGGGACATATCCGCTTCCTATCGGATGTAACGACAGTTGACGTGGGTAATTCTGTAAATGCGGTAAACTAACACGCGCTATGAACAACTCTATAAAAAACGTAAGGTATTCAGTGTAGAAGAAAAGTGAAAAAGCTATAAATGTACACATAGCCCCCCCCCCCCCCCCCGTTCAACAGGTTTCTCATTCTACTATCGCAACAATTTGGAAAACACGGAACAAAATCGAAAATGATTCCACTAGTGGTGGCTCCAATATAGCGACAAAGAAAATCAGAATATCAAATTACGAAATTAGTGATCAGGCTTTATTTAAGTGGTTCAAAATGTAGAGAAGCCTCAACGTGACAAATAATGGACCAGTGCTGCACTTTAAAGCCAACGAACTGGCTTCACTTCAAAAATGGGAGTGCAAAATTTCAAGTGTTGCACCAGGGTATTTAAAACAAACTTCATCTTGAGGCACCACTCTTAGGAAAATTAGTGAGAATTCTAAAAACTCATTCTAATCATCTCGGGGATGTTTCAACTAGCAAAGAAAAAAGTTTAATTTAAATGAAGAATGACCGATGCAATTTTAAATTCATAATTTATAACTATGTTTTAAGCAAACATGCATTGTGTCATGAACGATGATATTTCACTCTTTTACCCAAAATGATATTGCCGACTTTCGGATCCTCAATATCGGATTTATAATTGGGATTTTCAGTTTTGTCTCACATTTTTTAAATCTACCTTGGTTCTGATGTTACTGGCCAATAAACTTCAAACTTCAGAACAAAAAGTTATTTTTTTTTTAAGTCTTCAATCTTTGACTTCGAATATCTTTGAAACGGTTCGATTTAGGGAAAAAGTATAAGAGATCATTTTTGTAGAGCCTTCAATTTCCTATAAAAATTGTCAAATAAAATTGGCTTAATGATCTATTGGTGATAAGATATGATTATTTATATATAATCTTCCCATTAATATTAAGAGCTCGTACGTGGTAAGTATTTTCTAGAGGTAACTAACAACTAGTTTTTGTGTGTCAACTCCAAAAAAAAATCGTTTTTTTACCAACCTTAATATGTATGATTTTCTCATATTATAATTTTGACAGGTCACCGATCGACCGATCGATTGTAACGAAGTAATTTTCTAACGATGGCGTTATAACCAATATCTACTGTTTCTATATACGACACCTGTAAAGCTTAGTCATGAAAGAATCTCAGGAGCAAAAGTAGAATCCAAGAAATCCAAGAAAGCAAAGTTTAACAATAATTTGATAGGAGTCAAATTTGTGGTAAATTGAACTGAGGTGGCTTTTACTTGATGAAAATCCATTTATCAAAATAAATAAGAACTAAAAGTTCAGATTTTCACGAAATTATATATTATGACATGACAATCAAATGTCACATTTGATAAAGACACGGTGTTGTCGAAACAACTGTCATGTCATAATATATAATTTCGTGAAAATCTGAACTTTTAGTTCTTATTTATTTTGTCAAATTTGTGGTATTTCGACCAATTCTTGGAACGTAAGGGTTATGAAAATAGTCCCCTCTTTGGGAAAGAGCAAAAATAGTCAGGAAAGTAGCGATGAGCGATAAAATTACTCTAGTAGTCAATTTGCAGACCAAATGTCTCTCTTTCTTTACTTGGTTGCAAAGGACGTCATGCAAAAAAAGGATCACTCGCAGTTTAATTATCGTGGTTAATTTTGGCTTTACATTCTTCGATCTGAGGATGGTCAGCGTGTATAAAATAATGCATGTTAAAATTTGACATTTTTCTTATAGACAGCCTTAACATCATCAACAGAGTTAAACCCCAAAATCAGGTTTACGAAAATCTAGAATTCTTAAATTTTACTTTGTTTTTCTAAAGATATCAGAGATTAGATATAATATCTTTACAGGAGATTATTTACTTCGACGGAGATAATTAAGCAAAATGATCCTATAAAGTGTTTAATCGAACCATCGCACAAACAAAAACGAAAAGGTAAAGCCAGTCGCCATAATGGTCGAATAATTGAAAACCTGTTAAAATAAAACGGAGCACGATGACAAAACAGTCTCCCATTCAGATAGCCTTTGTACGATTCTGTATTTTGACGAGCCGCATCCCTCAATATCGCTAATACCTATGTTTTGCATAGTCATTCGAACATCCCCCCTTTCAAACAGATACCCTTTCTATTTAAACTCATCCCGTTACAAAACGTCCGCTTTTGGATTCGCTTCAGCGTTAAGGGACGCAGACACACAATTTTTTGGTCCCATTAAATCATTTACACAATCACTCATTATTTGACACGGTCTTTTTATTTGCAAAAACCGTGCTTAAAAAATAATTAACCAGTAAGTAAAGTAAGTTTCCCTAAAAATGGTTTAGAAGAAAAATAAAAGAAAACAATAATTTTGGTGTATTCGTGGTTCAGGCTCTGTGAAGAAGGTTATTGAAATGAGACTATGTTAGTTTTCGATTATGAGAAGGCAGCTGGGTTTTCCCAACTTTATTCTTAGGTCTTTACCTTGATTTTTCATTTAAATCAATTTCAGACGTTAATTTCTCCAAATTTATCTGATACTTATAATACTCTAATAGTAAGCTATACGGTATTTGTTGCTATGACGTGCTCACTGTTCTTGTAGAAATAACTGGGTAATATTTTGCCTTTATCAAAGAAGAGTAGCAAAAATATATTAAACTTAGTTCTGATGTGTACGCATCATATTAAAATTTTATTATATAAAACTTAAAACCCATAACGCTTCATTTTGTTTATCGTGTCCAAGCTAAAGGCGACAGTTGGTCACACTTTACTGGAAACCCCGTATTTTTTCTGATCATTATTACATATTTATTTTCAGCAACCCAAATGTTTTGTGGTGAAAAAATCATTAGTCGAACGAGCTAAAAATTGAAACTACGCCTCTGATATACGATTCAAAATTTACGCACCGCTCGGATCGGCATTAAATATTTCGTACTTAAAACTCGAACACGGGAAAACAATCGAACGATTCACAAAAGACATTGTCCTAAATGCCGTTTCACCGTCGTCCCGTCTTGTGAATGAAAAATACATCTTCCATGTGAATTAATTTGTAAGCGCTGGCTATTTATACGCCGGGAACAAGAATAAGTGTCCCCTTTGTGTTCCTGGTCGAAATAGGATCGCGTTTGGCTTTTATTTTCGAAGTGTTTTGTCTGGGGAACAATTCGACCGCACGGCTTTCCGTTGTTCTTTGGCCTTTTCGTTAGCGGACGCGGGCGCTTTCGGGACAGACGTCGAGGATAATTTTGGATTTGCACAAGCCAGAAACAGCGTTCCACTGTAGACGGGGTGTTTAGAGAAGTTCCAGTGTTGAAATTTCGCGTGCCACGTCCTTCGAGATACTCTTGACGAGGCAAGATAACTGCTTTTCTGAAAAATTACATTAAATTGAAAAACAAACCACAAACAACTGAAAATGTTTGGGATATGGCACACGACCTACAGATCTGTAGATTGCTAGAGTTGAAAGTTGCAGAAGAAAATTTATTCGAAATTCTAACTAACCAAAATAAGAACATCTAACAAAAGAAAAAAATATTTGCGGTGCAGCTAAACAAAGCCTACCGTTGCACATTGAGATATTCAGGAAAATAGACATAGAAAATTTAAATCAGTATCACTCTACGGATATAGACTGCAATTAATCATTTCTGCAACTTACACTAATAATAATAAAGGACGTTGTGTGGTAATATTCTAATATAATAATAATATAATACAATTAGATGTAGTTTTACTTCTCGACTTCCTGAATTTTGAATTACAAAAATTTGACGCTTAATTAGCCGATATTCAAAATTAACTTCTATATTTATTTAGCCTAGGCGTTTTTTAATTATTGTATACCCCTTACGTACATAGTGGGCCAAACGGACATTTTAAATTTCTCTTTCTAAAAAAACTGATCGTATATATAATAAAAAATTAAATAGAAAATATACGTGGTGTCCCATATAAACTTATTTTTTTCTGTTGATAACTTATTGAACACCGTGTACGCAGGCCGAGCGGAGAATCCGGGTGT